AACTCCTCCCCCGGGCTGTTTACCATCTTGAGCTCTATCGAGTTGGCAGTCATACTCAAAAACATTCTTTTATTCCATAATTTTGAATTCATTGCCAAATAAATGCAATCGAATGGAGAATCTACTCCGACCAATTCATTGCCCAAGAGCCCAAGTCCTAAAGAGAGGAATTCAAAGGTTTAAATGCAAGCTTAAATAATGTTTTTTATTAATTACCATTAGAATCAACATTACTTTGTTCTCCTGAATATTGAAAAAGCTAAAAAAACATTTTGTTGTCGTGAAAGTTGATGCTGGGCATGATCGACATGGGATGAGATATATGTTAGTCTAAGTTGTTGAATACCTATAGCTTCTTCTTGGCAAGCATCCGGGTTGATGGCATCCCGACAACGTTGATGGCGAACTCGAGGGTGAGGCAGTTAGCGACAGTGATGAACTCCGGCGTAGTCAAGGGCAAGGCGGGGAGCGGTGGCGAGCAACGACAACGAGGTAGGGCGAAGGAGAAGAGGGGAAGTGGTTAGAAACTCGAGGGCCCAACTCGCGGGCTAGGGCATGGATCTGGAGCCCGACGTCATCGTGAAGGGCGTAGTCGCGAGCAGGATTAGGGCTTGAGAGCTTAAGAGAGAGAGGATAGAGGAGATGAGAGAGAGAGGAGAGAGAGAAGGGAGATGAGAGAGCGCTTGGGGCCCAGGCGGAGGCGGCGACGGCGAGGAGGGCGAGGGCCAGGGCAACGAGCTTGAGAAAACCATTGGTTTTAGAGAGAGAGAGAGAGAGAGAGAGAGCTGGTTTGAGGGATTAAGGAGAGAGGATAAGGCTAATTTGAGGATTTTAGCTTAGCTAATATGTAATAATTGCTAAAAAGGGCTGCAGCACAAAGTGCCACACTTCAAGGGGCTGCTCCACATGGAGGAAACTATAAGGGGTCTTGTCACATGAAGTTTCTACTTTTGGGGCCTGGACACAATTTTCCCAAAAAAACCCACCACATCCTACCCAAAAAAAGAAGAAGAAGAAAAAGAAAAGGAAAAGAAAAATCTTAGGAAGCATTAGTTTAGTACAACTATACAAGAACATGATAGAGATTAGAAAAACATCACTTTTTGGTGTGTTGCTTTGCGTTCAACAACACAGGGATTTGGTTCAATGGTGCCAATGTTTTAAAAGCAGACACGTTGCCGGAGCCTCATGCACGGCGCTCTACCGATATCTCTGTTCTTTAACATATGAAGCTTTTTTTCTTTATTGTTTGCACCATTAGTTGTGGTATATTGTCACTTCAAAATTTTAACAGAAAAAGAAAGAGATGCAATATTCTTGTAATCAGAATTTTAAAAAAGGTGTAACCGGGTTCAATGGTATTGTGTCAGAGAGGGTTTAGCTGTCTTTGTCTGTGCAAAAGATTATAATTTGAAGATGATAATGAATTATTTTTGATCCTGTGGTTTTTCCCTGTTGAGGGTTTCTCACGTTAAATCTTGTGTGAGATTTTATTTGCTACATTTGGTGGTTTTTAGTGTTTTTGTGTGATTTAAAAATCCTAACAAGTGGTATTAGAGCAGAGTTCGACAATTCATGGAGGTTTGAGAGGTGCATGATTGGTGAAGGGCATCGGTGATTGTGCAATGATCGATATCAGGCGAATGAGAGAACCGATCATCGTGAAGGAGAGGAATCAGGTGAACAACACGTGAAGAAAAAATAAAATAAAAATTATAAAAGAATGTTACTATAGCAAGGCTGTGGAACATAATTCACACGATGAGGAGGGTTTGATTAAAAATTATTTTTAAATCAAATCCGATGGTGCATATTGATTTATCTTCTGATTGGAGAATTGGAGGTGGAATTTGACAAACCAGGAGCCATTTCAAAATATTCTTATAAGTAGGGTATTGATCAAGCTTTAGAGGAGAAGAAGTCTGAAGGGATGCAGATAATGAATGGAGTTCCATCCAAAAGAATGCTATTAGCATAATTCGTTTAGCACTCACCCCCGAAATCAAGTACAACATTATGCAAGAGATCATGCCAAGTGGGCTGTGGGACAAGCTTGTGGGAATTTATGCATCAAAAATGATAAACTGATTGTATTTGAGGATGGAGCTTTATTCATTAAAGATGGAAGAAGGTTCTGCTATTGAAGACCACATCAACATCTTTATCAGGTTGTGTGTCAACTCATGAATATTAATAAGGAGATTAAATAAAAAGAGCATGCACTACTCCTATTGCCTTCGCTACCAAAGTGATACAAGCTATAGTTCAAACAATAATTGCAGGGAAGTCGACTTTAAAATTTATGATATGACAACACTCCTTTGAGAGAATGAGAGAATGATGGGGAAGGAGAGCGCATCTAGTGGTCATAAAAGTATACTAGCTTTTGAAGGTTCTAATCGAGGGAGGAGTAAGGGGAGATATGATAGTTATCGAGACGACAGTGAAAGGGAGTGCTACTATTGCTAAGAGAAGGATTACATTCAGTTCATACATTCCCAGATGCGAAATGATTTAAAGAGCATTAGACATATGAAGCTTAAAAAAATTAGAAAGAAGGAGGACTTCTCGGTAGTTGTGTGTGATGAAGATGTGATGTTAATGAGAAAAGTACCAGTACTAATACGAACAAACCTTAGGTATTAGATTCTACAGTTGTTGATGTCTGATATCACACAGTCAGTTGAAGTCGCAGAGTTGCTGGATCGTCTAGAGGTTGAACTGTCGAGAGGGGGCCGCTTTCCTTCTTCGACTCTATGTCTGGTTCTCAGAGCTCGGGGTGGACGGATCACCTGCACACACAAGAATCATGGGAGTACGGGGCTTGTTTCCCCCATGGTACCTCCAACGGTCAAGTTTGTTAGTGGACTTGGGTGAGGTGAAGGAAGAACGGTGTGCTCTTCTAATATGTGTCTAGAGAGTTTTTAGGTAGTAAGAAAATCTAACATTTTTTCATGATGAATAGCGTATGCATTTATAGAGAACGCCAAGGGTAGAATAGGCATTTAATGAGAATGTGGTTTATGATGATGGTGAGGGGTGAGCCGGAGGCTGAGTCACCCTCTGCCCGATACGTGTCGATTGGTGAGTGATGGGAGGTCACTTCAGAGACATGGGGAATCAGCAGCCGTCGAGGCTTGTTAACGAGTGACGTGGAGTCACTTCTATGGTATGGGGATCCTGCATCCGTCGAGGCTTGTTGGCGTGTGATGTGGAGTCCCTTCTATGGTATGGGGATCCTGTAGCCATCGAGGCTTGTCAGCGAGTGACGTGGAGTCATAATGATGATCATAAATGGTAAAATAATACCGAGAAATAATGTTCTGATTCGCCCTCGGGGGAAGTGTCGGCTGATCGCTAAGTAGCAATCTTTTGCTCGACCGAGTCCGCCTTTCGAGTCGTCTTTGGAGAATGAAGCCAGCTTGACTGAGTCTGTTCTCGGGATAGCATATTTGTAAGAAATAGGTGACCCCCTATAACAACAGCTTATATGCATGTTTGCAATATAGAGTGTTTTGACATATTGAAGACAGATGAAGAATTTGGTGATGTGATCGTTGGAAATAATGAGAAGATGAAGGTTGAGGGCGTTGGGAGTATTGGCCTAAAGCTTTACATTAGGAAGGTCAGAAATCTTTATCATGTGAGATATGTGCCATTATGTGGTGCTAGTTTAATTTCGCTAGGTGAGATGACACCGCGTGGGTACAAGTATGTGGGTGAAGGAGAGTGGTGTAAATTATAAAAATGGTAATTTGATTTTGTGAGAGAGGAAGAATAGCAACTTCATTGGCTATTTAAATGGACATTCTGTCAATGGTGTAGGTGACTCTTCTTAAACTCTTTTCAACAAGGGAGAGGTGAGGAATAAGAAGATAAGAGTGAGTTTTTCTAAAGCCATGAGATACTTAAAGATTTTTCTTCCAGAAAGGATATGTTGGGTGCCGGCTCAAGTTTCAAATTGGATCTGGATTTGAAAGTTAGGCCTAGTCCTAGCAGCTTTTTAAGAGGCCAAGTTAATTTATAGGCCAAGTTGACTTGGTAGACATGTGGTGTCTTTAAATAAGACATCATATTTTAGAGTTTTTTAGTAAAGAGAGAGATACAATATTTTTCTAATCAGGGTTAAACAGAGGGCATAATCGAGTTCAAGGGTATTGTGTGAGAGAGAGTTTTGACTACCTTCATCCATGCAAAAGATTATAATTTGAATGTGATAGTGGATTATTTTCAATCCCGTAATTTTTCTCTGTCGAGAATTTTACAATATTAAATCTTGTGTGAGATTCTATTTGCTGCGCTTGGTGATTTTTAGGGTTTTTACGTGATCTAAATATCCCAACATGACTTTCCTCCCACTTCAGCTCAAATTTGATAGAAAAAATCAGATCAAATTACACTAGCATTTAAAGTGCCACATTTGCTTTCCTTTTGTTAACAGAACCATATAAAGATGTAGAAGGTTATTGTAACATCATGACTTAGAAAGCATCTAGTCAGAATGGTTCATATCAAAACTGTACACCGAAAAAATACTAACTCCTAAATTTATGCACAAATCAAAGCTAAGATTCATTTATTGCACATTTAATATCATAGACCCGGATAAATTTGATATTTCCCCCCTCGTGGCTACATTAACTTTCTCCAGTTTCACCACTCCAAAAAATAGCAAGCGTGCCTAAAGCCAAGAACCTCTAAGCTTGCTAGGTCCGAGCTGTTTCCTGTGCAGTGCACAAGTCTAGGCAATACTTCAAAATATCTATCCAAACACCCACACCCACAAACATTGTTACACTGACAACAACATCTTACAAACAAATCCAAAAACTTTCAATCGACAGCCTTTTAACATCAAGAATATGCTCCCTTCAATATCCTCCTCCTCGGTTCACAAGAGCCCTCCCTTAGTACTCCACGCTCTCCTCCTCCTAATTAGTTTCTCCTATAAAAAACCCTAAACCCCCCCC